TTTTTTTTTTTCTATATCATATATATATTTAATGAGAAAAGGAGTCACACAAAATATGAAAAATTAGCCAATGAAAATACAAGTTTCCAATTGATGTGGATAAGGAGTAATAAGACAAATTTGCATCACATATAATTCATTGAGTGATTTTTTTCCCTTATTTTATATTTTAATTAATGAGTGAAGGTGAAAATTGGGTAGTAGTGTTGGCAGCTCATCTTTTTTGATGTGGTGGTGGTTAGTTGGGTCACTTCACCCATGCTTTTTCCTTTTAATATTCTCTCTCTTTTGTGTTTTTTTTTTTAAATAATATCATCTGTTCTGATACCAACATTTTGAGGCCTTAATCCATTACTTAAGAGGAAATTACATCAATTAATTACTAAATTATTTTAGCTCAAAATGCTCATTTTGTAAAACTGCACAAACAAATAAATTTATTCCCAAATTAGACAGAAAATAGAAACTAATTAATGAGTCATTTATCCTTGACACCAAAGCTTTTTTTAACACTCAACTAACCAAAGAGATTGAGGATACACATTGAAAAATGCTAAGATCATTCCATCAGTATTTTTTACCATTGCATACACATGTAGGTTATGTTGTGTGGATAATCTACGATAAAAAAATACCGACGAAACTATTCCGTCAACGGGACTGTAGCCATTCCCATATACATTGTGATAAATAAATATTTATGCGATTCCTTCTTGCCTGAAAATCTGCTCGGTAGCGCTTCAGGGCATGTTTGTAAACAAAAATTTTCACTCAAAGTGGATTTGTTTGTTTGTTAACTAGACTTAATTTGGAAAAAGATGGTATGATTAGTTGTTAGTGGTATTTTACATTTATATTAAAATATTATTTAAAATAAATTTGTTACAAATTGATTTGATGTAAAAGTATGAAAAATATGATATTCACTGATGATTAGTTAAAATTACGTAAGTGAATGAATAATATTGATGATATTATTTAATTATATCGATAATATTGAGGATATTAGAGTTAAATTGAATCAGATTTTGAGTTGAATAAAATTTTGAGTGAAAAAATATTGTATACAAACATGCTCCCCTATAAACAAAAGTTTTTGTTTAGCCTATGTCACATTTGTTGGAAAAAAAAAAAAATATATATATTTTAACATATTATAGTGACTTAATTCCACAAGTCATCAAACAATCGAAAGGTGCGCGCTAGAGGTGAGTAACAACTAACAATGCAGTTGGATAACCAAACCTAAAAAAAACAAAATTATTAGAAACAAGCAATCCAACCATAATAATATAGAAAAATTCGAATTGAATTTAATTGAAAAATCTTATATAATCATATAATCGAACTAACCATAATATAGAAAAAGTCAAACTGAATTTAATCAAAAATTCCATACAATCAAATAATCGAACTGTACTGCGTCGAAATATACGACTTGCCTCCATTTTTTGTATTATGATCTTGCTATTTCTATACACATTTATATTTATGGTACCCGTTTCGACGAAATTCGACATTAAAGAAAAATAACAACGGAACATGAAAATAATAATAATCGAACTACAATTTGTTGCAACAAACCGAATTACACCAAATTACACAATTTGGGCTTAATTTTTGGATATACATTCGGTTTTTCTCGCCAATATTTTACAAACAAAAAATCCATCTAAATTTAATTTTTTTTTTTTGTATAACCTACTTTTTCTTCGTAATAAGAATAAAAAAAAAAAACTCCAACCAACTGTATACGTATGCCAAAGTTAAATACTAACTAAACAATAAAATAATTCCCTTAAAAAAATAAAACATTTTAATAATTTGTATAGTGTGTATTTTTAAACAAAACCAATAAACTAATAGGAGATGCTACTAGTCGGAATTTGTAACTGTTAGATTAACTATCACCGACGATTACATGACGATCAAACGGTTATAAATCTCGACGGAATAATCCATTCCGTCGAGGTTTGTAACCATTAGATCAACTATCCCCGACGGTTACATGATGATC